CTGTCCAGAATGTGCAGCAAATCTCCACCCCTGACCACAGGTCCCCCATGTCTGAGGGCATGTACCCCCCACATCCACCCAGCACTCTGCTATACAGGAACTTGGATGAGAGGGAAGATCAAAGGTGTTGGTATTGATTTAAACATTTGTTCAGATCAACCACACCACAGATCGTGTGTGTGTGTGTCTGTGCGCAAAGCTAAATTGTCCCCAAATTAGGCCACTTACCATTGCCCTGGGTAGGGTAAATGAAGATTGGTCAGGCTTTTACGCCGCTGGCCTCTGTGACTATCACCTGCGGCCTTGATTGTGCTAATGTAGGAGATGCTTGGGAGCTTGGGCTCGGAGTCACATGCCTGATGTTGGACACTTGGAGTATGGTGAGGGCATGCGTAAGTGTGCACACCTGAGCCTGGAGGTGGAGGCTGTAAGGGCGGCATCACACAGAGGACACAGAGGCAGGGTGTCTATCGTGGAACAGCTACAAGGAAGACACTAGATGAGGCCAGAAAGCCCAAAGGATAAGAGTAAAGATTCACGGGGAGCTGGAAGGCCTGCCAGCCTCCTTCCCCACACCCCTTGCCAGCCTGCAGGTTTGCCCCATGATAAATGGTGTAGAAACAGCATTAATGCCTGAGGAAGTCATTGAGGGCTCCAGGACTCCCCTTGATTCCGTCTACTCGAATCCATAGAGCATCTGCCCTGTGCCTTGTTGGCACTACACCCTGCCACTGCCCCATCATCTCTTGTCTAACTACAGCTAGAACCTCTGAGTTGAATCTTTGTTCCCATTTTCCCCACTTCATAGCAGACAGGGGGAGTTCTTTAAATCATAAGGCAGTACACACCACTCCTCTACTCCAAACCTTGCAAGGAGGATTTAAGCCAAGTCCTTACAATGGCCTATTGACTATATTATTTGCCTACATCCCTCCCTGGTCACTGGCCCCACCTCCTACTGCTTTCCCCTTGGCTTAGCCTGAACTTGCTTCTCCTTGAAAGGACCAAACACATTCCGGCCTCAGGGTCTTTGCAGTTACCATTTTCTATGGAATGTTCTTCCCAACATATTTACATGACTAATTTCTTCATTTCTTTCAGGTCTCAGTTCAAATGTCACTCCTCAGAGTTATTTTCCTTAAGTCCATCTAAAATCTTTTGTAGACATGTACCTGCCTTATCTCCTTTACTTCATGTCACTTATCAACACACCCACTCATCAGCTAGAGAAGTCCAGGCACATTTCGCTGGCCTACCCAAGTGTCTGGCACCTGGTTGGCAGGACTCAACAAAATTCCTTGTACAAATGAACAAAACACATGTGTATGACTTCAGTACAAATCAATGCTACTAAGGCTGAAAGAAATATTTTATTATCTTCCATTAGTATGCTGGTTCTTAATCCTTTAACTGGCTTTGATAGGTGTTTGAGAGACAAAAATCAGTTCTGAAGATGACAGTGGCACAGCTTCAGCCAAGGTCGTGACCACTATCTGGAAAGTTCAGAATTCATGTTTCTCAGTGAGGCATCAGTCACCCTCTTAGAAATCCAGCCCCCTGGGCCTCCCTGGTGGCGCAGGCGGTTGAGCACAGCACTGTGAAGCTGTCCACAGCCTCTGTAGCACGAGTTTGATCCCGGTGAAACCCCACCCCCATCTCTTTCAGGTTCAGGCCATGTGCATGTGTTACATCTTTTGCTTCTTAAATGCTGGCTGCACATCTCAGGTCACTGAGCAACGTTTTAGCTCCCAATCTTTCTGCTTCTAATCCTGCAGCTTCCAGCGCTCACACAACAGCTTAGCCTCTCTGGTCCTTAAGCCCTTGAACTCTTAACACCTTTGTCCTCATCTCCTTTCAAATGTTCACCTCACCTGGGACCACACCCCATGGCAGCCTACCCAGCTCCCTCTATTTGAGTTGTGGAATGATGCTAGGAAAAACATGGCAGCTAGCTTGCAGCGCACCCCAAATTCATGTTGTGATCTCCATCAGGAACTCCACTGCTCTCCTCCCTCAGCTCCAACCCACAACTGAGCTTCTGCAGGCGCCCCCGCCACCCCGTCCCCTTACCACACATTGTTTCGATGAAGGGCTCCAGTGCGAAACCGATCTTTTTCTTTGCTCTTATTTTTCTGTCCCTCTATGTGGTGTTTGATATAGTGATCTACTCCCTCCTGGAAAGTTCTCCTACCTGTCTGAAACACGTCTCTTCCTCCAGCAGTTTGTAGGCACAGATATTTCCCAAGACTCTGATCTTGGCTCTCTGCTCTACTTTACATTCCTTTATAAATGAAGCCCTCATCCCAGCACAGGGTTTTCATTCCACTGCTGGACTCGTCTTCAAGTTTCCAGTCCCAAAACCCTTTCGCTCTGTAAAGTTCACCTGCTGCATTCAGCTATTGGGTACACAATCTCCATTTGGGTATCTTCAGGCAGCTTAGAGTCAACTCAATCAATACCCATCATCTTCCTTAAAAAACCTGTTCTCCCCACCACATTCTCTTAGTGAATGGCACCACTGTTGCCTAGTCATGATAATTCAGAAATACCAAATTAAACTTTCATCTTCTTGCCCTGATCTCTAAGTCTTGCTGTTTCTGCCTCCTTGGCGATGTTCAGACACACCTTCCCACTTCACCGGATCCATCACTGCCCACCCAAATTAGTCAAGCAGAACTCACCTGGCCCTTCTCCAACCCAGCTTCCATTTGGCTGCCAGCACCATCTTCCTAAAACACAGATCTTATCACAACCCTCCCTTCTTTGAATACTTCAGTATCTGCACAGCACCTGCCACAGAGTACTGAACTTAGTTTACTGGTTTCTGTTCACACTGCTATAAGCAACTTGGAGGCAGACAATGCCATTTCCCTAGGGCCTTGCACAATGCCTGGCACACAGCAGGTGCTTGTTTGAGTGGAAGGATTCCAAGTCTCACCAGATGCTGCTTGGATTGTTAAGGTGCAGCAGGGTTGGGCAGTGGTTAAGGGCAGAGACTTCAAGCAGGCAACTTGGCAGGCTTGAGTACCAGCACCGCCAACCTCCAGCTACTTGCCAGAGGGAAGAGTTCTGAACTTTGTCATCCTCAGTTTCCTCATCTTTTAAATGAGATTCTACCACCTAGCTGAATGTGGCAACAAACCTACTGGGCTTAGCAGTGCCTGGTGAGAGCATTGCTCAGTGAAGGGAAGCCATTATTACCATAATTAATGATACCAACCATCATTTAAATCCCAGGATTTTGATGCTAGAATCACTGAGGCTCTAAGAAGCGAAGTGCCTTACGATCACAAATTTAGTAAGTGGCAAACTCAAACTTGAAACCCAGTATCACTCGCTGGCATGCTGTCAGCTGTTTGATGGGCTTGCTCTTCAGACTAGCCAAGTCAAGTGCCTTATGAACAATACACAGACCATAAGTGCTGGATATGCAGATGCACCTGGCACACTGCATACATGGGCTTTTGTCTCTCTGAACTTAGACTTGGCTAATGTGCCTTGGAGCAAGTTCATAATTACAGTACGGTTGATCTTTCCTATTGTCAGCTGTAATCATCTGTTAAACTAGGAATCAAATAACTCCTCCTTAGACCCTCCGCTAGATCAGGGGTTAAGGGTGGGGGAGGGACATTGCTAGCACCTCCAATTTCAAAATACACTGCCCCTTTCCCTTTTGAGAACTAGGTTGACATTCTAGAGTACATTGGGGAGGACAGTGTTCATTCTTTGCCTTTCCCCTTTCTCACCTGCAGGGGCATGAAAGGATGCAATGAAAAGAATGATTAGAAGAGCTTGCATCTTGTCATGGGGATACCCCATTCTGAAGGAATTCTAAGGCAACACGGGACTTGTTAATTGGGATTCAGGCTGCTCTCCAATGAGGCTTGTCCATCAGCGTTAGATGAAGTCAGGACCCTGGGGATAGAGGGACAGGTAAGAGGGGAGTGAAGTACAGGGGATCCTCAGGCAACCTTGCAGGACGAGCTGCACTCTGACCAGAAAGTGAGAGCAAACGGTAAGGAGTCAGCTGCAAGGTCCTCTGGTCTCCCAGATTCTTCCTGGTGAGTCAAAGTAAGACCTGGCTCTTTCCCATGTTGGGCTGAGAGCAGGAGTCTTTCAGCACATGGGAGTGGGAATGAGGACTAGAGTATAAAAGCCAGCTGCTGCTTCACCAAGACACACAAAGTCAGACTTGTTTCTGCCAACAGGTACCCTCAAAACTGAATTAAGATGAGAACCTTCCAGTTAACATCTAGTTTACTGATTGCAGTGTAATTAAGAAGTGCTTGTGTGCTCTGGTTTTGATGCACCTTTCTACATTATTCCTACTCAGAGGCAGGTGAGGGTATCCGGCACTTCTTTGCAGAGTCTCACGGACAATACATGTTGGGTTCAACAGGAACCAACTTGCTCAGAGACCAACAGCGGCCAATGCAGGCAGAGCCAGCAGTGTAGGACCTGACAGCAGAACGATGCCTGGGTCCAGTATGTCTGCAGGGATGTTTCTTCTACAGGCAGCCATGACTGCTACGCTGGCTCCTGGAGCCAAACCAGGCACTGAGAAGGTGCAATGCCTGGTGCCTAAACAGAGTCGGCATTCTCTCAGGCCGGGCAGAGACGGTGATCCCAGACATAAGGTCAGACCTGTGACTCACCTTCCCAAGATGAGGGTGTGCACCAAGGAAGAGCTGGCGGGAGCAGCCAGACTGGCGTCACCAACTACCCTTCCTCCTCCACTCTGTCCCTCCTGCATGCCCTCTCTCTGAGTCACTCTTCTAGTCACAAACCCTTTGAGGGTGTTTGCATGGCCTGCGTTTCACTTTAGGTGTGCTTGTTGATGGGATGAGGCCAAAGCAACCGAGCACATGGGCTACACAAAGGCCTCATCAACTCTCTTGACTTCCCACAAACACAGATCCCAAGAGTGTCATCCCCGAAGCCCTGGAATCCCCTTACAGAATTATAGCCCTACAAGACCTTGCTACTCAATAATTAATGGCAAGCTAAAAAAGAAAACACCACACAATTGTTTTTCCAATATAAAAATGTTATCAAGGGAATTATTTGAGTTTTTAGAGGCTTGGTTTAGCAAAGATTAAAAACACTTTAAATTCTCTTTCAACCTAAAAGTGTGATCTAAATTAATTCTCTATTGCTTTAGGAAAGAGACTGCTTTCCTAAATTTGATTTTCAAGTTCACACTCTTACCTCCACTGCACTGCAACCCCAAGAAGGAAAGCTCACCAGGGACAGTTCTGGGGTCAAGGTAGGAGGAACAGCAACGTCCTTACGGCCTAGATGCAGACTCATCTACACAAGGGGACCCTACCAATCCAACCTGCATACTTTTGAGAGTGAAAGGGGATGCTGTTAATTATTTGAGAACAAAAGGTGTAAAATTGGATATGGTCACCCTACTGATAAGGCAGTTTGGGAAACCACATTTCCATCATGCCTTGGCCCCTGAAAGTAAAAAGCTGGACTGGAGCAAAATACCCTGGGACCTCGGTTAGCACCAGTAAGAGGTAAATAGCATGGGGCTGGGGTCTGTCTCCAAGGCTTCCTCCTCCTACGGGACACTTAACCAGACACAGAGCACATCACCAGAGGTGAAATTTCAATAGTTATTAAGTCTGGGGTGGAACCTCTCTCTCCTCAACAACTTTGGCTTCCGAAGTACGCAGCTGCTTGAGCTGTCCTTTGGCCCGCTGTCCTGTTTCTTCTGGGCGCTGCCTCCGCCTCCCCATATCACCAGTGCCCCCAATGCCACTAGTTTTCTGGAGGATTCTGGGCCAGGTGCTGTTCCCACTCCACTTCAACCAACTTGTACAGCTCCATGGTGGCCTGAGCATCTTCCACAGAGGAATGTCCACTTTTCCCAACCTGAATGAATAAGAGAAGAGGATAAAGCTACAAGAGACTATTTCTTCCCTTCCCAGCTGACCTCCCCCATTTCTCACACATGCTGTTAGGGTGCAGTTTGTGCTGCTACTGCTGCAAAGGGAAAATGGGGTGGGGCCCTGCTCCTTATCTAAGTTCAGGGTTCAATTCCTAAGGAAGTCATTGCTTTGATTGCTGCAATCCTTTCCATGTGGCAACATGTATATGCCATATTGTTCTACATTCTGCAGAGACAAAACATGCCACATATCAGACAAGCCTTCTGAGTCTTATCCCCAGTTCCTTAAAAGCTGTCTGTATAAGAAGGGTGTCAGGGGGCCTCCCTGGTGGCGCAGTGGTTGAGCGCTGGGTCGCGAAGCTGCCCGCGGCCTCTGCGGTGCCGGTTCGATCCCCGGCTGCTCCCCGGCCACCGGAGGAAGGTCCCACATGGCGCGCAGACCTCTCCTGCCGCCCGCTGCTCCCCTCAGCAGTGTACTTCGGTTCTTCTGCCTGCTCTGCTCCCCGCTCTGGCTCTGGTGAATTCTCTCACCCTCCTGTGCTTCTGACTGTACCCAGTACATGTATAAACAAAACAAACAAACAAACAAACAAACAAATAAAACATGCCTCTATAAAAAAAAAAAAAAGAAGGGTGTCAGGCAGCCCACCGCTTCTCTGAATGCCAAGCAAATGAACACACAAGAGGTGTTTGCATCCATGATGTGATCTCATAGATGAACACCTCTACCTGCTTCCTTCTCTTCTGAACTAGGGTTTTATTTATTTATTAACAATTTTTTTTTAATAGAGGCATGTTTTTAATTTATTTATTTATTTGTTTGTTTATACATGCACTGGGTATAGTCAGAAACGTGGGAGGGTGAGAGAATTCACCAGAGCCAGAGCGGGGAGCAAAGCAGGCAGAAGGACCGAAGTACACTGCTGAGGGGAGCAGCGGGCAGCAGGAGAGGTCTGCGCGCCTTGTGGGACCCTCCTCTGGTGGCCGGGGAGCAGCAGGGGATCAAACCAGCACCGCGGAGGCCGCGGGCAGCTTCGCAACCCAGCGCTCAACCGCTGCGCCATCGGGGAGGCCCAACTTGAATTAGGGTTTTATTTATTTATTTTTTTTTTAAAAGAGGCATGTATATTTATTTATTTGTTTGTTTGTTTGTTTGTACATGCACTGGGTACAGTCAGAAGCGCGGGAGGGTGAGAGAATTCACCAGAGCCAGAGCAGGGAGCAGAGCAGGCAGAAGGACCGAAGTACACTGCTGAGGGGAGCAGCGGGCGGCAGGAGAGGTCTGCGCGCCATGTGGGACCCTCCTCCGGTGGCTGGGGAGCAGTCGGGGATCGAACCGGCGCCGCTGAGGCTGCGGGCAGCTTCGCAACCCAGCGCTCAACCGCTGCGCCACCAGGGAGGCCCTTGAATTAGGGTTTTAAATCCACATAAAGCTCTTTTCCTTTTCCATGTACCCTCTGGAATGCTGTTAGAACAGGAATTATTATCTTTTTTTTAAAGATTTACTTATTTATTTATACAAGCACTGGGTACAATCAGAAGCATGGAGGGTGAGAGAATTCACGAGAGCCAGAGCGGAGAGCAGAACAGGCGGACGGACAAAATATACTGCTGAGGGGAGCAGTGGGCGCGGCAGGAGAGGTCTGCAAGCAATGTGGGACCCTCGCAGGTGGATGGGGATCGAACTGGCACTGCAGAGGCCGCAGGCAGCTTCGCAGCCCAGCACTCAACCACTGCGCCACCAGGGGAGGCCCTGGAATTACTATCCTTAGGCGCTGATGGAGAGACTACTTATTGGGGCCCTAGCAAAAAAGCTGTTCCCATCAAAGCAGCCTGACTGTATTTCTTTTTTTTCTTTTAAAAGATTTATTTATTTATTTATTTATTTATACAAGATTGATTGATTGATTTATACAAGCACTGGGTACAGTCAGAAGCACGGGAGGGTGAGAGAATTCACCAGAGCCAGAGTGGGGAGCAGAGCAGGTAGAAGGACTGAAGTACACTGCTGAGGGGAGCAGTGGGCAGCAGGAGAGGTCTGCACGCCTCCTCCAGTGGCCAGGGATCGAACCGGCGCTGCAGAGGCTGCGGGCAGCTTCGCGATCCAGCGCTCAACCGCTGCGCCACCGGGGAGGCCCTGACTGTATTTCTATAACCAGAGGAATTCTGGAGACAATAAGGGTGGTCAACAAGGTGGTCTCCAGAACCTGAGTTGGGGGTGTGGCAGTATCTGGGGACACATTACCTGGATGTCCCGATTCAGCAGCTTCTGGGTGAGACGCTTCAGGGACATGGTGGCATTCTCTGGGCAGTCGGCCTTACGGTTGAGGAGGGGGATATGAGAGGTGTCACGGGTGAGGGACTTGGGGTGAAAGTACTGAAGGGCTTTGAAGTCGTTGTGGATGGCATGCCCCACCACAATCTTCCCTGTGAGTATCTTCAAGATCTGAAACAGGTGTGGAAGAGGTGGTGGTAAGAACTCAAAGTGGGGGACCCACATCCTAAAAGTTCAGTGTGGCCTTAGATCCTTCTAGATTCCTTTTACCAACAGCCCCACCTCCCTCATGCTCGAAATGCCCTCTCTCACACATTTTCTTTCAGCTAAAATCCAGCTCCTCCCTGCAAAGTGAAAGCAGGCATGTTTCATGGCATGCCCTTTTGGACTTCCATCACAGTGGCTCCTTACCTTCTCATTACTCTTCACTCCAATGACAGATTAGTTTGCTTTGAGTCCCAAGGCACACTCACGTTTGAGACACTCATGTAACTATCTAGCTGGGTTCTGGCTTCCACTGGAAGTCCCTTAGCCATGGTCATGCTGGCCTGACATTACATGCTGCACAAACGGAATCAAAGTTGGGTTCCAGCAGGTAATGGAAGCCCCAAATTACATGTAAGGAGTGATGGATGGATAAAGATGTGGGTGTTTTGTTTTGTTTTTTTTTGGGGGGGCGTGGAGGAGAAGAAAATCTCTGGTTTTCATCAGACTCTCAAAGGGTGTACAAGCTATAAAAGATTAAGAATCACCCATGGACAAAGGCTACAGAGACAGATCAGACTGTGCTGCTTCAACAGTCAGTCCCATTGCTTTAACTCCTCCAGCTCACAATCAGGGAGCATTTGAAGAACCCTGTTTACACTAATCTTGGAACCAAATAACCTCTCACCATTTCAGGATCTAGAGAGGGCCCCAGGGCGTCCCTGGTGGCGCAAGGGGTTAAGCACCACACTATGAAATAATCACAGCCTCTGCAGCACGAATTCAATCCCTGGCCAGCCAGGTAGAAACCCACATGGCACAGCAGACTCTCCTGTTGTGCCCGCTGCTCCCCTCAGCAGTGTACTTTGGTAGATCTGCCTGTTCTGTTCCCCACTCTGTCTCTGGTGAATCCTCTCACCCTCTGCATCTCTGGCCTGTACCCAAGCTCTTGTATGCATAAATAATCTTTTTTTTTTTTTTTAAAGATTTATTTATTTATTTATATAAGCATTGAGTATAGTCAGAAGCGCGGGAGGGTGAGAGAATTCACCAGTGCCAGAGCGGAGAACAGAACAGACTGATGAAGAAATACACTGCTGAGGGGAGCAGCGGGCGTGGCAGGAAAGATCTGTCATGACATGTGGGACCCTCGCCGGCAGCCAGGGATTGAACAGGTGGTGCAGAGGCTGTGGGCAGCTTCGCAGCCCAGCACTCAACTGCTGCGCCACCAGGGGAGGCCCATAAATAGATCTTTAAAAAATAAAAAAATAAAGCAAGGGCCACCTAAGAATAAGCCATGGACTCTAAAGGCCATTCCCAAAGAGGGGTTCCAAACAGGTTGTGAGCAAGAGCAACAGTCCTGGCATCAGTACATGGGGTCCCAATGGGAAAGGGCCAGGCTCATGTGGATAGACCTTAGCCCCTTACCCCAGCGAGGCCATGCCGAGGTGCTTTGTCACACAAACCAGTGCAGTCCAACCAACTGGGCATTTAGTTGCTCCTTGGCTGCACCTTCAGTTTACTGTCCACCAACACTTTTACTTCACATTAACTTCAACACATAGCCCTTGTGAAAGCTGAGCAGGTTTGCTGTCTCCGAGTCACCCCATCTTCTGCCTCTCCCAAACCTCTGCTCAGCTGCACCCCTGGGGCACAGGATGTTCAACTCTTCCAAGTTCTTTCTAAGATCCAGACATTTCACCTCTGGTAAACCTCCCTCCCACTGATTGTTTTGGCATACAAGGAATGGTTGGAACAGTCAGTCTAAAGAAGGGAAAGAATATGCTGAAATTACAAAATGGAGTAAGGGTGCCCTCTGGAGGCCTCTTCAAGACCAGCAGGTTCCTTGCTCCCCTCTCCCACTTTGTCCTTAACTCCCTTTCTCCTTAACTCCCAGCAGCTCTTTCCTGTTCTGTTCATTTGTGTGCTCCCCACTGTCCCCACTGCTCATGCAGGACTGGAATGATGACTTGTTTTGCACAGTGAATGAGAGGAGAACCCAGTAGGGCTGGTGTCTTTTACCCCCTCACTGCAGACTACCCAGTTACACAAATATGCCCCATCTTCAATCAATGCCCTGCCCTCTCCTACCAACACTTCCACTCCTGCCCCAGGCTACCTCTCCCTACTAAACCCTAAACCCCAACTCTACAAGGTAGTCCCAAATTGGACCCTTTCCCCCTGGCACTCATGCCTGCTGCTCTGCCCATCACTGGCTGCCATTTCTCTATGCAGACTCCTAGTTCCCCAGATCAGGAGTCCCCTTGGAACCTTAAATAAGTCTCATTTGATGAAGTGTGTTACACCAGCTACAAGTACCTTCCAGATTTTCACCACTCTTTACCCCAGCAGGAAGACTTCTCCCTCCTAACATTCCACTTCCTCTGCCTGTCCCACCATACACCTTTGGTGCCTTCCAATGCTGATATTCTTTGCTAAAAAATGATTTGGACCCCTCCCCACCCACCTCTCCACTCCTGTGTCCCATGCCTCTCACCTGGCTCCGAGCAGTCTTGAAGGGTGTAGCATTAACCATGTGCTGCTTCCGAATACCACTCCATCTGGTACGGTAGTCCACAATGTGGCAGGGGGGGCGAATGTACTCATCATAAAGTACATCTCCATTGTAGTTAACGATGCTACATCTAGCCAAGGAACTGATATGCCCCTTGGGTCCTGTGCCTACCATCTCACAGTCAATTGCCACCATCTTACCCAGTATCTTCTGGGACGCTCCAGAGCATTTATTCTCTGATGGAGCTTGAGTAGAGTTCTGTGGAGCATTCTTCTGGTGGCCCTTTTTCTTGGAGCGAGTTGGGTGCTGCTTTATCTTTGGAAGGGCACTCTGAAACTCACCCAGCAGATCTACTTTAGCCACAACAGAGCTGGCCTTCTGTGAAGGGGCAGGGGTCAGCCAAGGCACCACAGCTTTCTTGTCCAAGGACTGCTCTGACCCACTGCTAGCAGTAGCTGTCGTCTTCTTTTTTTGAAGGGGAGGGGTGCTCCAAGCCCCATCCACCCTAGGAGTTTCCTCTTTCTTTGGTGCTTCTGAGCGCAACTTAGGTACCTTGTTAGCGGGCTGGTTCTTCTTATTCAGAATGCCTCTCCGTTCCAAGAGCCGACGCTTTTTGACAAAATTTTGGTGCTTGGCATTCCCCTCTAATGTCTTCTTCGGGGGAGGTTTGCCAAAATCCAGATTGAGAAGTAAGGTAGACATGAGGACAGTGGATGGTGGGAGAGCTGTTGGGACGATTGGCTTACCAATGGAAGGATTGAGGACTCATCCTTTGATGAATTCCACAGGAATTCCACAGGAGGCTTGTAGTATACCCTGGGGAAGAGAGCTCATAATTGAGCTTACAGACCTGGAAAAAAATAAGACCCACCTCTGTAGGACTGAATGGAGGTGCGCCGTCAGAGCAATTCCCTCACGTAGAGGGAAAATGAAGCTGCAACATGAAATGAGCACTGCCTGAGCCAGGAGGCCTTGATTCTGGCAAAACCCCACAATTCCCTAGCCGTCTGGTCTTAGAACAGTCATTTTCCCCCTCTAGATCAGCCTCCTTTGTAAACGCAAGGAGTTAAAGATTCCATCGAGCTCGAGGTTTGTGAGTCTGGAAAGCTAGAATAAGCGAACTCTATCACCTGTCCAGGGAGGGAATACCTAAGCATGCTTGAGAGCAGCGACGGGCATGATACATGTGACCTCTGGATTCTCCAGGCACCCCAGCGCAAGACCCACGAATAACAGATACAAATCCAGACGACTCCTTCCCTGTCTCCGGATGGGGGAAATCGCCACAAGCACCTCACGTCCTTCTCCCAAGAAAGGAACTTTGACAACACATACCAGCAAGGGGAAAATCGAGGCCTGCGGGTAATCGAGGTCGGGGCAGGCTGCCTCGGCGAGCACGCTTCGGCGGCGCCGGCCACGGAGTCCGGTCTCCACACTCACACACCTACCTCCCAACCGGCTCCGCTACGACCGGAAGCGCCCGAAGCCGGATCCGGAAATTGGCGCGCGCCGCCGAGGCCCGGGTCGGCAGGCCCGCGGATTGGAACGCGCCGGGGGCCGACGCGCACGCGCCCGCAGCCCCCCTGCCTCCGGGAGGGAGGCCAGGGATTCCGAGTGTGCGGGCAGCGGCAGCGGCGGGGGCGGCGGCGGGGGCGGGGGCGGCGTGGGCGGGGGCGGGGGCGGGATGCGCTCCCCGGCCCCTCTAGCCCCGTGGAGGTACAACTCCAAGGTGTGGGAAGGCCGCGACAGCGGGGACCTGCGGAGCGCCGGGTACCCCGGCCTCACTTCCGGGAGAGGAGGGGACTGGTCCGGGAGGGGCTGGGCCCGAAGCTTGGCCCGCCCCTCCCCTGGAGCGGGGCGCCCGCACGCTCTGTGGCGTCACGGCGCGGGCTCCGCGCCCCACTGGCCGCCCACGCGGGCACCTCGGCGCTGAGAGCCGTCGCGATCTGTGACGTCAGGAGAGCGCCTCACGTCTGCCCCCGGAACTTCCAGCTCCGGAAAGGGAGCGTCGGGGACCGGGTGCAGAGATCCTTATTCCCCGGCTTCTGCCTGGCTCGGCCTGGGTGCTGGAGTTTCGTAGTACTGACCCTGGTTCCTTCGCCGTGATCTCGCTCCCGGCGCCACCGACTGGACCCCGGGATGCCGGGCGTCTCCGCCCGGGGCCTGTCTCACGAGGAGAGGAGGCGGCTGGCTGTGAACCTCACCCGAGTTCTGGCTCTCTACCGTTCCATCCTGGACGCCTACATCATCGTGAGGCCACAGGGGTGTGGGCGGGGTATCCCGGTGGTGTGGTTGTTGAGGTGCCCACGACAGGGAGAGAAACTGGCGAGTTGGTTTTTGCCCTTTTCTTCCATCAGTTTCGGTCTTTTGACTGTACAAGAAGAGATTTAAACTGGGGCAGTCGCCCTCTTTTTCAGATAACATAGATAGCAATATTTTTAATATCTAGCAAGATTTTTAATATCCAGAGTAATAAAACTCATGGACACGTGAGCCATGGCTACGTTGAATTCTACTAGGAACGTGTGAGGTTTTCCAAGAACACACCTGTTCATTCACCCAAGCTTTGAATAAGTTTCTGGTATATAGTGGCATGAACACTTCCAACTTCGGAATCAGACAGACTAGAATCCTAGTGTGTTAACTCTGGGCATTGAAAAAAAAAAAAATCCCTCTTAGCCCCATTTCTCAGCTGTCAAAGAATCATGTGTGAAGGTTTATTATGAAGAATAAATGAGTTGGTGTATAAATAGCACCAGCATCCACTGAATTGTTCAGGCCCAAAACCCAGAAGCCATCCTTGATTCTTCAGCAAGTCCTGTTGACCCTACCTCCAGAACAGATAGTGAATTCACCCATTTATCTCTATCTCCTTGCTACTAGCTAGGACCAAGCCCCCATCATCCCGCTCATGGACTACTTCTAAACTACTTCTAAACTGATCTTTCTGTTTGTTTCTGCCCATCTATTCTTCACAAGGCAGATTGATCTCTAAAATGGAAAGCCGAGCACAACACTCCTTAATTCCTTCATGCTTTCATGAAATCTGAACTCCTTATCATTATTCATAAAGTCCTATATAATCTCCCTGCTGCCTCTTGAACCCGTCACATTTCATTGTCTCCCACGTTCACTATACCACACCCACACTTGCTGTCCTGATTTCTTTCCACAAATATGGTGGACACTCAGGCCTTTGCACTTACTGATTTGCCTGGAATGTTTTTCCTCCACAGAAAGGTAAGAGTAGAATGGCTAAGAGCAGGAACACAAATTGGGTTCAAGTCCCAGCTTTGTTACTTAATAACTTTTTTAAGTTTTTAATTGCTGTGCGTCAGTTTCTTTATCTATGAAATGTAGGATGAAACTGGTACCTACCTCTTAGGATTGCTTTGAGAAGTAAATGCCTTCATAGATGTCAATGTTGGGAACAGTGCCTGGCATATTAAAGTATTTTATAAGTGTTTTCTATTGAAGGTTTTTTTTTCCTTTTTTTGAGATATAATTGATGTATAACGTTTGTTTCAGGCGTTTGACATGTGATTTGATATTTGTATATATTGCAAAATGATCACCACAATAAGCCTAGACAACATGTATCACCATGCACGGTTACATTTTTCTCATGATGAGAATTTTTTTTAAAGATTTATTTTTATTTGTTTATGCATATAAGAACTGGGGTGTAGGCGAAGGGGTTGAAGCAGAACAGGTGGATCTACTGAAATACACTGCTGAGAGGAGCAGCAGGTGAGACAGGAAAGGTCTGCTGTGCCATGTAGGTTAGCTCCTGGCTGGGGATCAAACTCATGCCATAGTGGCTGGCAATAACTTGACAGCGCTGAGAGACTTTAACCCCTGTGCCACCAGGGAGGCCTCATGATGAGTTTTTTTTTTTTTTTTAAATATTTATTTATTTATGCAAGCACTGGGTACAGTCAGAAGGGCGGGAGGGTGAGAGAATTCACCAGAGCCAGAGCGGAGAGCAAAACAGGCAGACTGACAAAGTACACTGCTGAGGGGAGCAGCGGGTGGCAGGAGAGGGCTGCTCGCCATGTGGGACCCTCGCCCGGCGGCCCGGGCAGCTTCACAACCCAGCGCTCAACCGCTGCGCCACCAGGGAGGCCCTGTGATGGGAGTTTTTAAGACCTATTTCTCTCAGCAATGTTGAAATATACAACAGGATTAACTGTAGTGATCGTGTACATTATATCACATGACCTGCTTTATAACTGGAAATTTGTAAATTTTGTTGGCTGCCCCCCCATCTTACCCCGCTACCCCCACCTCTCACAACTACCGCCTGAATTATTTTTCACATGTCCTGTTTCCTGCTCATCAATCAAGTCTCAGGTCAGATGTCAGCTCCTCGGGTTGGTTTGTTCCTCATTGCTCTATCTAAAGTAATACTCTCAAAATCTCCATTATGTTTTATTCTCGTGTGGCACTTTTATGTCAGCTTTGCAAGAGCTAGGATTTTGTCTAGTTCATTGTATCTAGAATAGAACTTGGTATGTAACCAAAACTCCAGAATTTGTTTTAAACAAATGGATGAATAAAAATACATCTGGCATATATAGTGTTGGCATATATAACGGTAGGTTGAAGACATGCTGCGTGTCTGTCAACATGGTGGTGTTGGGGACGCAGATGTGAAGGAGATGTCATCCCTGACCTTAAATTCAGTGGAGTGGAAGAGACATGTAATTGAGGAAAGGGATTAATGGAGAGGTGTGTCCAGACTACATCTGGGCTCCAAGGAAGGAGAGGTCTGCCACCTGGGAGTTAGAGGGAATAGGAGCAGGCTTCTCAGAAGAGTTGACTTTGATGAGAAGGAGGAACCTACTCATTGCAGCCAGTGACCCTGTGCTGAGAATGGGGTAGGGAGAATGGGCCTGAAGTAGCCTGTTGACTGCCACTCCCCTCTGCAGGAATTTTTTTTATATTAATTTTTTTTATATCATTGTTCATTTTAAAACAATATTTGCTTCCCTCTACCCCCTCAGGTATAGTCCCCATAGAGTTTCCTTCACCAATGCACCTGTGCACCATCACCACAGTGCCCCCCTCTCTGATCCCTCTCCCTCCTCCTCCACCCCTCTGCAGGAATTTTTTACGGACAACTTGTGGGGCACACTCCCCTGCTCATGGCAGGAAGCACTGGATGGACTGAACCCACCACAGCTGGCCACACTGCTGCTGGGAATGCCTGGGGAAGGGGAAGTAGTCAGGTATGGGCAACAGGGCCCAATGCTGGGGGATTCAGGATGCTGTGCTCCACAGCGAGCCATTGCTCAGTCTCACAGGCTTCCTCGGTTGTCAACTGGCGCATCTGAACATGACGGAACTATTCACTGGCACCTGGGCTATTGCAGGTACAGGTCGGTGTGGCCACTCGCCCTGCTGGCCCTGAAGTCCACAGCCTCTGCTCTGGCCTTTACCCGGAAGCCTGGGTTCCGGACCCCTTCAGAGTTCCAGGAAAACCCCAGCCAGAGCTCCCGCCTGACAGCTCCATTCCGGAAACATGTCAGGCCCAAGAAACAGCATGAAATTCGGAGGCTAGGAGAGGTGAGATGGCTAGGGTGTCTGGGAGCCTGGGGACTCTTTAAGTCTGTGGGTTACAAAAATGTGTGTACCTCATACCAGTCCTGCAAGACCACACACCCTAGAAGGACCTTTCCTCACAGGCGTGCTGTAATGTCCATGCTTGGTTTTGGAGGGTTTCTTATACTCTTGGGTTGGTTGGTGGCTCACTGTTTCATTCCTGGTCTCATACCTCCAGTCTACCCGGTGCTTCCCGGTGCTTCTCTCCTTGTTCTGTGAGAGAGGCTGAATCACTGAGAGCAGCATGAAGAATAACCTGAGCTGGGGTCACTACCCCTATTTTGGTTTCTATGTGTCTTCCATGGCACCCTCTGCACACCTCCCTTTGCAGCTTTAGCTCCTGCACCCTTGTTTTGAACATTTGCCCTGGGAGTCAATTACCAATGGCTGGACAACTTTGTTCCCTTCTCTTTCAGTTGGTGAAGAAACTGAGTGAGCTCACAGGCTGCACCCAAATTGTGGATGTAGGCTCAGGCCAGGTGAGCCACACTCCTAATGTTTTCTGAGTTGTGGGGCTAGGACTGTAGAAGGCAGGTTTATCAGGCCTCAGGCCCAGGAAGACAGATGCCAAGGAGTGGTGAAATAGGCAGGGCAGAATTTATGCCCTTTGTGTGTGTGTGTGGGGGGGGGAGGCAGGGGGCTGGGGAGCAGTGCTCGGACCCAGGTCGCAGCCATTGAGAGAGTGGAGGCCAGTGGAGAGGTGCTGAGCAGGTCTGCCTCCAGCCCTGCCTTGTGACTCCAGGGCCATCTCTCCCGCTTCATGTCCCTGGGGCTGGGGCTGATGGTGAAGAGTATCGAAGGGGATCAGAGACTGGTGGAGAGAGCCCAGCATTTGGACCGGGAGCTCTTGCAGGCTCTGGAGAAAGAAGAGAAGAGGAACCCACAGGTAGGCCAGCCCTTCCTGCAGCTAGGACTGAGCTTCCACTTTTGAGTTTCTCAGCCTGACATGGTCTGCTCCTGATTTCAGCTACTCCTTTCCTGATGTTCCTTCTTTGCAAAACCTCCTCCCTCAGTCTTAGACACTTTCTTTTTTAAAGATTTATTTACGCATACAAGAGCAGGGTGCAGGCCAGAGCAGAGGTGCAGGAGGGTGAGAGGTGCACCAGAGACAGAGTGGGGAACAGAACAGGCAGACTGACAGAAATACATTGCTGATGGGAGCAGTGGGAGAGACAGGAGAGGTCTGCTGCGCCATGTGGGTCAGCTCCCTGGCCGGGGATTGAACTCCAGCTGCAGTGGCTGCAGATAGCTTCATAGTACTGAGAATTAACTCCTTATGCCACCAGGGAGGCCTAGGGGCACTTTCTATTTAAAAACTGCTTTCCACACCAGTGTATCTTCTCACCCCACTGTGAAGTGGCCAGTTGCATAGTATACTCAGAATACTAGGACTCAAATGAAGAGTTGCAGTGAATCATGACTGACCCAGAGCTGATCCCTCCTGATTTTAAGGCTCAGCTGTCTCCCATGCCCCAGCTTCTCTCCCTCCTTCCCTAGGAGGGAATGGAGGATAGTCCCTTCCTGTAGCCTGAGGTGGCATGGGAACAGAGAACAAATGTCCCATCTTTGTCCTTCCCTGCCTCCACAGGTGGTCCAAACTGGCCCTCGCCTCTCTCCATACCATGTGGTTAGGTGGGTAGACCCTACCACCCTGTGTGAGGAGCTCCTGCTTCCACTGGAGAACCCACCTCCGAGTGGGGTGCGCTTGCTGCTGACAGGCCTCCATGCCTGTGGGGATCTGAGTGTTGCCTTGTTGAGGCACTTCTCCTGTTGCCCGGAGGTGGTGGCCCTGGCCTCAGTGGGCTGCTGCTACATGAAGCTGAGTGACCCTGGAGGCTACCCACTGAGTCAGTGGGTGGCAAAGCTACCAGGCAATGAATTGCCCTACAGGCTTCGGGAGGGGGCTTGCCACGCCCTGGAGGAATATGCTGAGCGGCTGCAGAAAGCAGGCCCTGGCCTCCGAACCCACTGCTACCGGGCAGCGCTGGAGACAGTCATCCGACACGCCCAGCCTGAGCTTCAGCGGCCAGGGGTGCAGGGGATCCCCAGAGTCCACGAGCTCAAGATTGAAGAGTGAGGCTGGGGGAAGTTGGGGAGGGGATGGGGCATCTACTGGAAGTCTGACCCCCTCTGACCCTCACTTGTTAAATATCCTAAAAAAAAAATCTAAATGTACCTAGAGGAATTACTGAGTTCTCTGCGGCAGTTTCTCAAAAATTTTTTTAAAGATTTATTTATGCATACAAGAACTGAGGTACAGGCCAGAGGTGTGGGAGGGCGAGAGGATTCACCAGAGACAGAGTGGGGAGCAGAACAGGCAGACTGACTGTAAGCACTGCTGAGGGAAGCAGCAGGCAAGACAGGAGAGGTCTGCTGTGCCATGCGGGTATCTCGCTGGCCAGCCGGGTATTGAATTGTGCTGTAGAGGCTGCAGATAGGTTCATAGTACTGTGCTTAACTCCTTGCGCCACCAGGAGGCCCTCTCAAAAATTTCTTTAAAAGGAAGTTGTTACTCTTATCAGGAGGTTATCAAGTTTTTAAAAATAAGAGACCAGTAAAGAATTAGTCAAATCTGGCTGAAAATAAATTTGGGGATCAATTTGATATTGGACAAACAGCTCACAGCCAGAGAAACGTTTAAAAATGCTTATTAAGGTAACAAATCAAGCAAAGCTGGAATCGAATTAGGAATGGACAGTTTGGGTGGGAGGGGGAGATTCCCCAAACCAGACTGAGTGTTGTCTGTGGCTTACCCCACAGATACGTGCAGCGGGGGCTACAGCGAGTGGGACTGGACCCACAGTTGCCACTGAACCTGGCTGCCCTTCAGGCCCATCAGGCCCAGGAGAACCGTGTAGTGGCCTTCTTCAGCCTGGCCCTTCTGCTGGCCCCACTGGTGGAGACGCTCATTCTACTGGACCGACTGCTCTACCTTCAGGAACAGGGTAAGGGTGTCCTACAGCTGGGGCCTGAGGGACTGGAGTTCTGGGGCTTCTTTAGGTCCCAGCCCCAACATCTGTGAGGGTCATCCCTGGGTGATTCCTGGTCTACCTGCTTCAGAGCCCTCAGGTGGGCGGGGCCAGGGACTTGTTCATGTAGATTCCTACTGAATGAGCCTCTGGTGGTGACTTTTAGCAAGCATCCCTACCTTGTGTGGTATGGGAAACCTACAATGCCCAGAGGACTGCCTCCTGCACCCAAATCCTGATAGAGAACTGGGTTGTTAGTCCCCATGATGAAAAAAAGGGACTCTGCCCGTAGGCTGGGCAGAAGGTAGGTCTAAAGTTGGCCTATTTCTACCTTCCTGAGTAGCCCTGCATTTCTCCCAGGCTTCCATGCTGAGCTCCTGCCCATCTTCAGCCCTGAACTTTCTCCCAGAAACCTGGTTCTGGTGGCCACCAAGAGGCCTTTGGGCCAGGCCTTCTCTGTGCTGGAGACTGAGGACAGCTGACTTAGCCTGAGGAAAGCACGTCTCGGACTCCCATCTGCAGTCACCCCAGCGCCACAGTGGGTGGTAGTCTGCAGAGCCTCACCCAGAGAACCAGGTTCCTGCATCCTCCCTGGAATTATGGTTTTATAATTCAGCTACATACCCTGTCCCTCCCTTCCTGTGTTATGTCATGTGTAAAAATGTATTTTTTAACTTATTAAACTGTAATCTTCATTATAGTTGCATACCCTCTCTCACATCCTGCAGATGTGCTACAATTGGGTCTCACACCCCGAGCCCCCACTCTCCTCGACGCATCGTCTCATACACAGGTTTCCATGGAGAAACCCTGTCTTTCCCTTTGGCTTCCAGCCAAGTCTTCAAGCCCTGCCCCCTGCGAGGGCTGCCTTGAGGCTAGAGAACTTCCATCTGGGTTGTCATGACATCAGGACAGATGCTGCCTCTCTTTAGTCCCTGAAACCAATGCATCCTAGTTAGGGGTGTCAGTCCACTAGAAGATAGCAACGGTACACAGAGGACAATGCAAGCCTCTTTATTGGTATCTGAAGAAGACGAGCCCAGCTAAGGCAAGACAAGGAGGAGAGAAGCTGCCCTTCAGACTCCTCAATACCAATAGACCTTCTTGTGTCTCCGGGTCTCCTGGATCCCCATGGCCTCCATCACCTCTTCCTCCAGGGTCTTTAGAGAGGGCACGTAGGTTCTTTCTAGAGCATCTTCCACTGACGTATCTTTGGGGCCATCTATTGAGCCAGAGGAAAGAAGATGGGTATGAGAGCTGCTTAACACCCCTTATTCCCAACTCCGACCACCCTCACCCCAACTTTGTGCCCTTCACCCGATCTCACCAATCCATGTTTCAGGGATGATACCATCATCTCTGGGAAATTCAGGTTTGGGAATAATTCTTCCTGATCTTGTGGAGACTCGTACCCGCTCTCCTGCTTCAGTGAATCTCCACTCTACCTCAGTGGGTTTCCTAGAAGACAGAAGAGGTGAGTCCAGCTGGGGAACCATCTTCCCACTACCCTCCAACCTAAGTCAATTGCTAAAAACACTAAGATCACCATCTTGTTTGTCTGAGACCTCTATAAGAGTCATGTCCATGAGACCCCCCATCTCAATTTCCAGGGCATCTAACCCACCATTCCACTGAATAAATGTGGGCCACACCTGCATGGACTCAGAGGTAGGAAAAGCGCCGCATATGCTTACTTGTCCACAGGATCCACGAGTTTGACCTGGTGGTGGAGCAAGGGTGCTTCACTCTGGACCATGGTTCCCCGTGTATCCTTGGTCTTGCCGATGTAACGGTAATGCTGTCCAAGAGGGGGGATGGCAGAAAGTAAGATGTGTGAAAGCATTCAGTTCAGAGCATTTAGCTCAAGTTGAAAAGTAGAAGGTTCAGCTGTATCAGTAGCCTTAGCCATTTCCTGCCACTTGAGCTACTCTGGGTGGAGCTGGACAAACGGGACAGGCACCTCTGAGCACACTCATCATCACTCTTCACTTACCGTATTCAGCCCTTCAAGGACCACCCAGTTTCGCTGCCGAATAACTTGAACCACTTTGCCTTGCTTCCCGGCATCCTTGCCTTCTAGGATCTCTACCTGTGGAAGACACGAGGGTCAGAAGGGGCAATCCTTGAACAGAAGCCTCCCACCACTCTCCCCTGTCTTAGGCTCTCACCCTGTCCCCACAGAACAGATGCCAGTCTTCATCAGAGATGGGTTCCACAGCCACCCGTCGTCGCCTGAGCCCTGGAGGGTTCCTCCTCTTGTCTGCCAGGGAACCTGGGCGGTTCATCCCATAGCGGTAGTTGGGGGGCAGAGTGACCTTGGATGCCAAGGCTAGCAAGGCAGAGAGTCGCATGGCTGGAGGCTGAGAAATTCCCTGGTAAAAATGAATTAATCCACAATGATCAATGATGTGATCAATTGTGCCTACATAATGAAGCCCCATAAAAATCCTTGAAGTACATACAGAGTTTAAAGAGCTTCTACGCTGGTGAACACATGGAGGTGGCTAGGAGGGTGGCACTCCTTTGGAGGGCATGGAAGCTCTGTGCCCTCTTGCATCCCTTGTTCTATGCACGTCTCCTATCTGGCTGTTCCTGAGTTATATCCTTTTGTATAAACCAAAAACCCAGTAAATAAACTGTCCTCTTGACTTCTGTGAGTCACTCTAGTATATTGTCAAACCTGAGAACGTTGTAGAAATTTCCAATTTACAGTCAACTGGTCAAGGTGGCAGGAAATGGCTGAGGCTACAGATACAACTGAACCTTCTACTTTTCAACTTGAACTGAATGCTCTTAGCTGTGGTAGGCAAACCCCTTTCACACATCTTACTTTCTGATATCCCCCCTTCTGAATGCAAATTACCACCTGGGTTTGTGATTGGTGTCTGAGGTGGGGTTGTCTTGTGGGACTGAGTCTATGCAGTTTGATACTGTGTGCAGGTAGAATGTTCAAAATTGAAGTGAAATGTAGGACATTTGACAGGTGTCACAAAATTGCTTGATGTCGGGGGAAAAGAATACCTACATTTGGTGATCAGAAGAATTGAGAGCAGAGGGAGGTATAGAAGAGGAACAAGGTTTTCCTTCAAGGACAAAAAAGTGGGGGCCTCCCTGGTGGTGCAAAGGGTTAACTGTCAACACTAACAAGCTATCTGCAGCCACTGCAGCAGGAGCTCCGTCCCCAGCCAGGGAGCTACCCACATGGCACAGCAGACTTCTCCTGTCTCACCTGCTGCTTCCCTCAGCAGTGTATTTCAGTCAGTCTACCTGTTCTGTTCTCCACTCTGTCTCTGGTGAATCCTCTCACCCCCCATACCTCTTTTCTGTACTCTAGTTCTTTTATGCATGCATGCATACATAAATAATAAATCTTTTTAAAAAAGACAAAAAAGTGGTATTATCCCAACAATATGTCTCTTGTTGAAACTAGATTCAAATTCAATAAATGATTTTTTTTTGCGCATAACTGGGGTGTAGCCAGAGGTGTGGGAAGTGAGAGGATTCACCAGCGACAGAGTGGGGAGCCGAATGGGTGGATTTACTAAGATACACTGCTAAGAGGAGCAGTGGACATGACAGGAGAGGTCTGCTGTGCCATGTGGGTTAGCTTCCTGGCCTAGGACCTAACTTGGGCTGTAGTGGTGATAGCACTGAGATTTAACTCCTACACCACCAGGGAGGCCCAATAGATAATATTAAAAGAACATTAAGAAGGGTATCCCTGGTGGTGCAGTGGGTTGAGTGCTGTGCTGTGAAGCTGTCCGCAGCCTCTGCAGCATGAGTTCGATCCCCGGCCAGCCAGGGAGAAATCCACATGGTGCAGACCTCTCTTGCCTTGCCCACTGCTCCCTCAGCAGTGTCTTCGGTCCGTATGCCTGTCCTGCTCCCTGCTCTCTCTGGTGAATTCTCTTACCCTCCTGCACCTCTGACCTGTACCCCAGTTCTTGTATAAATAAATAAATCTTAAAAAAAAAAAATTAAGAAGAAAAAAGAAACCCTGTGAACAGCAAAAGACCCAGAAACCTGGGGGCAAAATAAGCAAAAGAACATTTTTTAAAGCACTTACTTCATTGCTCAGTGGACCTTGTTTCACTGAATCCTCATAAAATATTATCTTCACTTGAAGATGCGGAAATAACACAAGTTCAATGACTTGTCAATGGTCAGAGGCTACTGCGTTCCAGAGAGCCGGCATGCAAATTCACTTAGAGATGACTTCAAAATCCAAAAAGTTCAGGGAGGCCAGGGACCATGCTATCTAGCTCATCCCTCAATTCAATAGAACTTGATGTAGTGGTACTCACATAGTTAAAGAAATGCAGCAGGATAAGAAGAAAACAGAGAATGTAACAAAAGAAGGGCAGAAGGCCCAAAGGCAGGCATTTCTAAGGGAAAACAAACACCTAGCAGAGATAAAAACTGGGATGAAACTGTCCCTAAACCAACTAGCCTCCTTCAGAAAATAATCAATGCTCCTTCCTTTTCTAAAGGAAAAGGACCCAGAACCAGACTTTAGGATTTCTAGGCCCAAATTTGCCATCTAAGTTTGTGCCCTAAGCCTCCCAATTTTGGAGGTTGGAGTAAATCAATGGGGAGGTGATAGCACTGAGGGTAAACTGATTAAGCACTTCAGTTTACTAAGCACTTGCTACCTGCCAGGTGCCATGAAAGTGCTTATCTGTATCATTTCACTTAAGCCCCAGGACAACTAATAAAGGAGGTAGCATTAATTTTTTTTTTTTTAGAGGTTTATTCATTCATGCATACAAGAACTAGGTGGGGGCCAGGCATGAGAGGATTCACCAGAGACAGAGTGGGGATCAGAACAGGTGGATCTACTGAAATACTCTGCTGAGGGGAGCTGCGGGTGAGACAGGAGAGGTCCGCTGTGCCATGTGGGTTAGCTCCCTGGCCCAGGAACAAACTCATGTTGCAGTGGTGGCTGGCGGTAACTTGATAGTACTGTCTTTAACCCAGCACTGCCAGGGAGGCCCCCAGTAATCTTATTTTATAGTTTAGAATGAAATCTAGTCTAAAAGTACAAATAAAATGTACTATCACTGCATAAACAGCTCTGGACTAGGAGTCTGCGGAAGGGGGTTCTAGCCCCTGCCCCACTATCACCTTATTCTGTGACCCTAGGCTTAACTCCTGAGCTTAAGTTTCACATTGCTTAACACTTTAGAGGGTTGCCAGTGTCAAATTGTTTTAAATGTAAACAAAGCAAGATACAGAATGAACAGTATTTCTTAAGGGTAAATTAAAAAATATTCTGACAGGCATAAATATTTAAGAGAAGCAAACAAGTGAAGTACTTGTTTTGGGAAAGAAAAAGTGGGAGGGTCTTTCCACCACGTTTGCATTTTCTAAAATACCACTGGTTATCTGAGCAGGGAGATACTAGGTCATTTTTCTTTTCTATTTCTCAGTATGGAAAAAGTCTGATGTTATTTTCAATGGATACTGAACCAAAGGACCTAGGAGTTTTCAGACTCAGCAAACGCTCCGGCCGCACTACCATGTGACAAATGGAAAACGGGGACCTTCACTCCTTCGGCATTTGATTGTCACGGTTCCAAAAGGGGAGCTGACAGATTCTTTTTCTAGACAAGGACAGCAGGGTCTGGGAGCTGAAGCGACTAGCCTCAGAGTTCACAGAGCTTGACAGAAGCAGAGTTAATCTTAAGGTTCAAGACTCCTGCGTGATTGCGCCAAGAAGTCTCTTAACCTCGGCCAGTCTGGGAGGAAGCTCTGGCAGGTCACAGAAGCCGGCCCCCTAGACCTTTTCCTTCTGCCCCAACACGCCGGAAAGGCGGCTGCCCCTTTCGCAGTGAGGCTTTTTGTGAGATGCTGTGGAGGCCCCGTGCAAGGTAGTGGGGGGGAGGGGGAGCGTCTGCCGCGGCCCCAGCCAACTGCGCCAAAATCCCGAAGCCGGGGAACCGGGGCGACCACCGAGATACGGCCGGGATGAACGACCAGGGCGCCCGCCGCCGCCACCAGAGCACCCCAGAGCCGTCCACACCTCCCCACGCGCGGCCTCACCTCGGCTTCCCGCGCCGCCCGGGCGCCGCTGCCGGCTCCCGGCACGGCCCTGACCCCGCCCGCCGCCGCCTGCCTTCTGGGGAATGTAGTCTAGAGCCGAGCGGAAGCTCCGCGCCCAGAGCCGCTCGGGCGCGCTGGGAGCTGCAGTGCGCCGCTCTCAAGGAGCGGGAAACAGGAAACTGGATCGCGTAGGAAATCGAGGCGGCAGCGGCACCGAGAAGCAGGTCGGGAGTTGAAGGCGAAGCGCCGTAGGCCGCCGCGCCGGCGCCTTCCCGCACATGCGCCGTGTGGAGGCCGCCGGGAGTTGTAGTTCCTAGAGACGGTGGCTCCATTTTCTGGGTGATTGGCTTGCTAGTCAAAGCTGAGCCTCCCTTTCCCGACGAGTCTACATCCCGCGCCCTCTCCGCCTACACTCTCCACTGGAGGGGGCCAAAGCTTATCAAGAAGTTGTCACGTCTTCCAGAGGGGATAAAACGTGTGCCCTGCCAGTGGCAGTCAAGGATCTAGTCACAAAATGTCAGACCTGGAAGGAACCCGAAAGATCCAATCCAACACTTCGGAGTACTGGGAGGACTGCACCCTGTCAGCCTCCCCTTGCCCTGCTCTCCAGTTAACAGTGAGGGGTATCTGTACCTTTGAGCTTTGGGGGTTAAAGTTGTTTCTACAGCCAGCCCAAATACCCCGTTTCCATGGCCATGGTGGCTGTGGCTGATACTGCACCCTCTCACACCCAACTTCGTGGCCAGCTTTTTATTAAAAAAACACTTTCCCACATGCTTATGCTGGAGGCTGTATTAAATAGTGTGTGGGCAGGAGAAAAAGAATGAAGGGTGTAGTCTGCTCTGTGACTGCACTCTAAGGGAGCTTTGGCGATTTCTAACAGCCTTGGCTGGCCTCCTGTACCTCAATCTGAGAAGTTGATGGGGAAATCATTTTATACCCCACTCCCCCATTTTCAGTTAACCAACACCCCTCCCTCCAGCCAAGAATCAGTCAGAATCCAATGTAGTAATCAACGGGTTTTATTTTCCTAGAACTGAAATCTTCTACGGTTCTCAGAGCTAAACTTCCAAAGCTACAGTCAGCAATTTTCATGAGAGCCCAAGGGAGAGGGGCAAGGGTGAGAGAGACAAGAGACAGAAGAGAGGTATGATGGCCACCAGAAAAAGGTTGGGGGAGGGCACTTATTTCCCTGTCCTCTCAGTGGGTTACAAATTGAATCTGGTGACAACACTGAAGGGACCAGGAGAGGGTATGTGGATGGGAAATGACACCGGAAAGAACACCAAAGCCCCAGCTACAAAATGAAAAGTCATCAAGCCCCAAACAGAAGAGGAGCCTCCCAGTGCACCTCAGAAATGGGGGCAACAGTGGGGAATAAAGGAGCAGAGTCGGGGCACAAGAAGGGATGGGGGGGGTCTTTAAAATTTTTTTTTTGTAATTTTCTTTTATTAAAAACATTTCCTAAAAAATGTGTCTTTTCTTTTACGTCTGGGTGACATGTGACTGCAAGCTGGCCTTGAGCACTGTGGGGAGGGGTAGAGGGGCAGTTAGGAATCTCCCCAGGGCATTCCATCTCTGGCCAGTGATCTAAAGGGGGACAGTTACTCAACACTCCCACCTGCGCTGGGTGAAGTCAACCCTTCAGATAGCAGGTCCTTGGCCCAAACAACTTGGAAGTTCCAAAATCTCATGATGATAAACTACAATTCCCAGAACTCCTGGAGTCATCAAAAGGAAGAATGGGTGTTGTCAATCATCCAAGATTTATGGAAGGGAGCTCCTCCCTCATAAGTTGTTCCATTTTCCCTGAATCTAGGCAGTTGGGGTAACAGGTGTGGGAGGAAGGAATAGGAGCTCAAGATACTACCCTCCAACCCCAATTTGAGGATTGCCCCTTCCAGGCCCCATGAATCCACCCTGCTGTTTAACCGCCATCCCCCTTCCACTCCTACCTGGATTCCAACCCACCCAGAGGTTCCGAATACCTGGGTAAGGGGAAGAGAGTTGTCAGGGGGTCAAACAGCTGGCTTCTGGAAAATAGCTCCAAGCCAGGAGAGACACAATAGTCCCATCTCATCCCATGGCGCAGAAGACATGGCCCTGACTCAGATCACAGGGGCATGGGGACATGGAGATGAGGGCCAGGTAGCTGGCCCCATCCAGGTCTATCTCCAGGGGATGGATTTGGAAGGGGGAGAGTGAGTGGAAGAGGAAAGTGGGCTGGGGTAGGGAAGGGGTTCCCAGTTTGCAGGCCATGGCCAGTTTCCCCAGTAGCACCCAGACAGCAGCAGGAACGGGATGGGGGCTCCTCTTGAAACATTGGTGGCTACAGGCTGCAGAGGAGGTTGGAGGGGAGAAGGGTTAATGGTGTGGTCTCCTGGGAGCCCACCCTGTCCCCAGAAGAGGCTGACCTGTAGGCCCTCCTCATCCTCTTCACAAGTGGCTGAGCCCTCCCAGCACGGGGGCTGACTCACCTCTCATGATCTCTGATGCCTGGGGCCTCAGCATCTTCCTTGGCAGCCTCTTCTTCCTCTTCCTCCTCTTCTTCCTCCTGAGAGGGACCCCGGCCAGAGCCAGGCTCAGAGGGGGTGCTGTTCTTCTCCACCTCCACAGGGAGGGGCCTCTCGCCCTCCAAGGTGGCCACCTCCTTCTCCTCTGCTTCAGGGTCTTCTGCCTCCTTGGGACGTTTGGGAGAGTCCTAGACGTTGGCAGACATGAGGTGGGCTGAGGCTGGAAAGGGAGGACCCCAAACGACCCCCTATAGCTCCCCAGCTCTACCCCCTGGGCATACCCATATCCTTCCCAGCCTTCTGCTAGCTGAAATGTCCTCTGCATTCCAACTTCTTAGCAGGGGGTTCCCCAACTCCAGGGGCTGGGTCTTTCAGACTGGGGACACCCTGAAGAGGTGGGAACTGTCCCTCCCGAGCCTGGGTACCCAGCTCCTGCACCCCAGGTAAGACAGTTACCTCCAGCAGGTCCCCCGCTCTCCTCTTTAGCGCCCCCTTCTCATTCTTCTCCTTGGTTGGCTCATCAATGACCAGCTTTCCTTCCTCGTCACTGCTCCCCTCCGCATTCCCCTTCTTATCCCCGTCGCCCTCTGTGGCTTCAGGCTCAGGCTCAGGCTCTTCCACAAGGCTCTTTTTCTGAGAGGACTGCAGCAGAGATGGCAGGGGTTGAGTGGCACCAGTGCCTGCCACGCTGGGCCCCTCCCAGCCCCTCCCTCAGCCACTCACTCCTTCCTTCTCCCACCTCACCCCCGCCCCCACCCAGGTGCCCAGTCTCACAAGTGATTTGAGACCCACCTCTGTCGGATTAGCCCCAGGGTAAACCCACTGGCCGGGCAGGCAGGGCTCTGTGCAGGAGGGGGGAGGGCTGGAGCAGGAGGCAAAACCTCGGGTCAACTTCTCCCCAAAGGGAGCATGGGACCCTTTCCCCGCCAACCCCCGCCCCCCACCCTCCCGCCTCATCCTGCCCGGCTCACAGCACCTCTCCTCCTGGAAGCCTTTGTGGAAAAAGTTGAGGCCATGGCTGATCCTCATACTAAGCCCAAAGAAGGAAGGCCTGTCCCACTTACCGCCTCCATCCTTTCTGGCCCCCCAGGCTGCTAATAGTTGCCCCTAACTATGACTACATCACACCCGCAAACTCATCCCTCTTTCAGGAAGCCTCCCTCACACACACCCCCTCCCCCCCCCCCCTCCCCAAGTCCCTGAACTTCTACTCTGAAAGCTTTGGCATTGTGTGTGGGCCCAGGCTCCCGGAGCCTACAGCCACACCTGCTTTCCAGGGGTCTTTGGGGGCAGAAGGCTGCTCACCTGGTAGCCAGAAGCCTTGACGGTAGGGTTGTTCTCGATCTCCCACAGCCCCTCGCTGAACCCTTTCCTCTTGTTGGGCTTGCCAAATTTCTCCTTGGACTCCTCGTAAGGGAAGAGGTCTTTGGGGCCCAGGAATGCCCTGGTGAGAGATGGGAGACTGTGCTCTCGAGCCCCTGCTGCCTCTGAGCTGCACAGCCCAACTGCGGGGGGAGGGGTTGGTGGTGCCTTACCACCTCTCTTTTCCCAAAGTGGTCCTCCCATGGCCCACCCTGCCTGTGCCCACCAGCTGGCCCCTCACTCACGTCTCATGTGTCCCAAAGAAAAAGACTTGGTATTTATTGGCTGTTGACTTCACTGCAGCCTCAGGCATCTCGTCAATCTGAGAGAAAGATGCAAAAGTGAGCATAAGCTGTAGTCCTGAAATCACCAATTTAGGGCAGGAGACCAATGTCTAGGGTACATGTGTATAGTCTGACTGAGAGGGACCCAGAAGATCACCGAGGTAGTTTGGAAACCATTTATGTTTAGCAGTGAAAGACTGTTCAAAGTCAGACATGAAAGACTGAGGAAACACTGGCGTCACTCCCTCTCCCTCACAAAACAAATACACCTATTCTGCCTTCCCACACTTTCAGATGCTCTCCATGAAGCTCCATTCTTTGCAATCACTCTGACCAGAACACTGTCACCTTTTGGTCACTCTTGCCTGAACTAAATGGCTGCCTCTAGCTCCTCTCCAGGTCCATTTTTGCCTCACTTCCAGCTGCAGCCAAGGATGGCCTCTCAAAATGGTGACCTGAGCTTTTCACTCCCTCACTTAGGACTTTTCAATGGCTTTTCACGCCTTGAAAGCCCACCCACTCACCTCTTCTCCATAACGTCAGTCTGAATCCCAATACTGCCACCAATGGGCAACTTACCAAACCTCTCTCTGCCTTGATTTCCTCATCTGTTAAATGGGGATAACTGTAGTACCTTATTGAAGTCACAGAGTTGGGAGGATCAAATGACCATCACCTGTCATGTCATGCCTCTCATGTCATGCCTGCTCTCCCCCACTACACTGTCCTTCTGCCTCCTGCTCTGGCCACAGTGACCACTCAGTCTCCCATACTCAGTAACTGCTGGTCAGCTGTCTTCCAACCTCAGCCCATCACTTCTAGCAAGTTCTGTCATCTCTTTCCACTGGGTCAGCTTCCCAGATAACTCTCTCTTACCACATGTCCTTCACAGGGCTTTTCACAGCTGTACTTTTACAGCCACTCATATTATCACCAGATTAATGTCTAGTGGACTGTTTGGGCTACACCTACCCTGAGATCAGAGACCGGGTCTGTTTTTATCCACAGCACACACCCTAGTACTAAGCACACAATGACAAAAGCAGTCTGATCTGGGTGAAGGGGAGAGGGGTGAGGACAAGGGGCTGCCTATTCAACACCCTCCCTCCCAGTAGCAGCCTCCAAAGGCTTCTGGGGAACACTATGAAAGCCACCTGAAGTAGTCAAACTCTCATTTTATACAAGAGAAAACTGAGGCCCAGAAAAGTAATTTGTCCAAAATGACATGGCAAGTTAGTCTGGGGCAGGTCTCTGGAGGCAGATCTCAAGACTGGACCCCTGCTCCACACTCCTGGGGGCATACTGAGTGCTGCAGTGAAGGTACAGAAGTCTGAGGTCAGGGAACTGAGAAGCAGTGGCCCAGCCAGACTCTTTCAGATCAGGCCCTGGAAGCCCAGGCCAAGCTGAGCTGGGGGAGGGGCAGGGCGTGGGCCGGCAACTACAACTCCCAGCAACACTTGCAGCAGCCCCAGCGGCCTGGCTTCCCGCCGGACAGAGGCCAGGTGGCCATGTTGACTGGGGCCCCAGACGCAGATAGGGAAGAGACAGACAAGCCAAGGCAGTGATTAACACACAGGGACTGGGACAGAATGCCTAACTGGGGGAGGTGGGGGGATGGTCTGGGAGCCAGGGAGGCTGGGTGGATGAAAATGAGCTGAGACACAGAGAGGACAGGGGGTGGGTCCCTGGGCACGAATCTGAGGGGCATCTTGCTCCAGGCATGGTGTCTTAAGGCTCCCGGGCACCTCCCCCCTGCCCCCGTGGCCTCTGGGGACAGAGGTCCGGCCCCTCCCCCCCGGCACAAATTGGGCCCTCCCCACTACCAGGAGACATTGGGGTGTGAGAGCAGGGGGTGGAAAGGCACGTGGCTCCCCCCACAAACACGTTCCCCATCGCCATGACAACCCAGCCCCGCCCCCCGAGGCCATTCAGCAACCAGGAATGTGACCACCCCTCCCCCCAGGCCCTCTCTCCGGATTGAGGAGGAGGGGACACTAACACACACCCCACCCCCAAGCCTGGAGTCTGGCACCTGGGTCCCTGGCTGTGCCTGAAACCTAGCTAGGACTAGACGGGCCCGTCTCTGGAAGCTAGATGTGGGGTGGGGAGGAGCCAGTGATCGGTCAGGACACCTGGGTCCTGTTACCAGCTAGGTCCCCACCCTCCTCTCAGAGGGGGAAGCAAAAAACAAAATAAGAGCCTCCAGGGCTTAGAGATCCCAGGAGGCAGGCCTAGTACAATAATAGCAAAGCTCTTCCCTAGGCCTCTACTCAGAGGATCTCTGAGAACCAGGAGTGGGTGGAGATCTAAGGGTCTCCAGCTGTGCCTGCATTAAGGTACTTTGAGTGCTGCTTTCTCAGAACCTACACCTGAGCCAGGGCTTTAACAGATGTAGGAAATGTGTGAGGAAGAGGGGCAAACCGAGGCTCAGGAAGGAGGGTGGGATGTGAGAAGAGTCAGAAATGAGGAGCCAGGAAGTTCTCTCAAGCAAAGCAGCTACCCTCTTTACAGCAGAAAGCACCTCAGAGGTAGCAGAACGATGTGACAGGGGACCCAGGAGACCACCAGTCGACCAGCCTCAGGGGTGGGGAAGAAACAAAAAGATGGATGGGAATTAAAAATAGACAGAACAAGACACACCAGATACGCCTGCCCTGCTGACTTGAAGCCAAGTAAAGGGTGGGTCCAGAGGAAGGAGAGCGGGCAGGGGCCTGGGCCTATGGGCACCTACCCCAAATGGGCTGCCCCACCTCCACCTCACACCTTGAGTGTAGGCACATGTGGGGGAAGGGCCAGGAGGTGTGCTCTCTTCACTTAATGCAATTTCCAACCTCCCACCCAAAAAGGAAAGGGAAAAGCCCTCCTGCAGTGGACCCTCTATCCTCCAGGACACAAAGAAATGTCTTGTCTTGCATTTAGAAGGGGAGGGTGGCTTTTCCTCCATGGAGAGATATGCAGTCTCAGGGGAGGCCTGTACCCTCAATAGACATGTGTCTCCCAGGCGGTGCCTTTATATCCAGGCTGTGACTCAGAACAAGTGAGCCAAGGCTAAATGGGTCAGGGTGGGGCCAGATGACTGTTGGGGACCCCACTAAACCCCCTCCACTGGCCACAGTCATTCTAGGAATCCTAGCAAGTTACTTCTAGGCTGGGGTCCCATCTAATCCCATCCCTGTCCTTCTGCATTTGCCTGAGCACATGAAAACCCATCCCTCCCCCTTCCCCACCCCACAAATCCTCTGAGGTCAACCTCTAAGGAATTAGAAACTTCCAGGCAGAACACCTCTCCCCCACCCAAATCCAGGCCTGGGTCTCCTGCCCAGTTCATGGAGTGACAGCAGAGAAGGCCGAGTCCATTCTGACTGCCAGTCAGGGTTTTTCTGATCACCACACCCAGGGCCCAGGCCCGACCTGACCCAGGAACCAGAAAATCTGGGGCAGGAGACAGTTGGGGCCCAGGGAAAAGTGTGGCAAGCCCAAGAGGCAGAAAAGCGAAGGGGAGGGCCAGAGGGAGGAAAGATGGGTGAGGCCCTCTGGCTGCTCAGGTTTTCTGGGATTGTGAAACAGGAAGTAGAGAAAGGAGGAAGGAACCTTGGGGGGGGGGGGAATCCCTAAGTCCTGGAGGTTAATCGTTAGGTACTTGGAGATTCCCCTAGGAAGTCAGGCTGGAGGAAAAGGGACAGGAGATTAAGATGGAGTCACCCCATTTTTGAAGGGGGTCTGGCCTACCACATGGCCCCTGGGGCAAGATCTCTAGTCTCACCCGGAGTCATCCATCCACCCCAGAAGTAGGGGCTGAGAAGGGGCAGATCCACACTGGGGCCTTCCAAAATGAGGATTCTGGCTGCCTACTAGACTAAGCAGTCAGTGAGGGCCCCAACTCTTCCATCTCAGGAAGGGCCAGGTTCTTTTATGTGCTGTCACTGAGGCCGTGACAGCATCCAGGGATGGTGAGGAGATAGATTTATCAGTACCTCTGGCATTCAAGGGGTGGAAGTATCTGGAAGACAACAGCCTTGGGTGTATCCTTCCCCTTAATTGTCTTAATCAAGAGCCAGGGCACAAGCAGAGGGTGGAGTCCTATCTTTTAGGGATCCAGTCTAATGTTCCTCCCCCAACTCTAACTTTTATCTAAAAGGTACAGGCCTCAACAGAGGAAGACTAAGCCTCCCCGTGCCATCCTTCTGGCCTGGAACCCCAAGGTGAAGAGAAGAAATGGATGGCATCCAGTTCCAGGCAGTGCCCTCACTACAAATGCCACCAGAATCCTGAAGGTCTTTCTCACAGGGGTCAATGTGGCCCATCTGTGTGTATGCCCTTTTCTCTCTTCCCTGATCCAAATGGGGTTCTCTGTAGACCACATTCCTGCTGTGCCCCCTCCCCAGGGCTTAGCACAGCCACTGGACTTTGTCCTGCCCCTAGGAGGTGGGAGCCGTAGAGACCTGGGTTCAGTTCTTGCCCTGACCACCAGGGCCTTGGCATTTGAGCGAAGAAGTCAGTTGGATCAAAAGCTCAGGGTAAAGTACACAAGTGTTCACACACCACACACAAGATGTCCTGCGGCTGCCTCCTCACAATGCTGTGCCCACCCCCTTCCCTAAGAGGTCCTAGAAAGTGGGAGAGTCCCAATTTCTGTACTTCACTACTAGCCCACAGTTTTAGGCTTCTAGAAGGTTCAGGGAACAGGGAGCTCAAGGCTTATGAGATTAGGCACACATCTCAGGAGAGGGTACAGAGTGAGAAAGGGTCTCCGGAGTTTTCTCAGAGCGGCCCCAAAGTTGGCCTGGCACCCTACCCCAAGCGAACCTGGGGCAACTTCCTAAACTCAGAGCAAGGTCTGGGCCAGATGAAGAGTCACAGGCTGTAGTCAGAACATCAACCCACAGCCAGAAGGTAGTTCTGCACTTAGCCCCCTAGTCCAGAAGAATGCTCCCTGCACTAGTCTCTGACCCAAGATCTCATTCTACAGGAGTTGGGCACTAGGCACTGAGTCATGCCCACAACCTACGTACCTAAGGCCTCTCTCCACCAACTCTGCACTGGCCCAGGTGACATCCCTAACCTCCTTTCCCCCTTACTTCCCCTCGGTCCTTAGGGGAAACATGATGAACACACCAGGCTGGCTTTCAGGCTCCACCCTCCCACCTGGCCAGGTGCTAGAAGGGGGAGGGGGGGGAGAAAGGCCCTCACATTGGCGGGCAGAATCAACCACATGGCTGACTGGGCCATTCTGGCGGGAGAGGCTTATTGGGAGGGGGAAGCAACTCGGGCTCCCCCCACCTCCACTAAAGCGCAGTGTGGACTGCACTTCCCAAGCCCGCAGGGGCCCTAGCTGCCCTCAGCCCCAAATTTGCGTGTACAGCATATGGAGGTGTATTTTTGTGACGCTGAGGAGTGAAGGGTCCCGGCGGTCCATTTCTTTCCGAGCCAGGTAGATCCCCTCTTACACCACCCCCAACCACTCCTCGACCCTCCCAACTTCAGACCTCTTAAGACGCCCCAAACCAAAAGTTTTCTACAGCGAACTCCGCCTCCGTCTATCCCTTTCTGGGATGGTATCCTCCTTAACCATTTAATCCTGGAAGGGGAGTTTTGATCCCGGGGCAACCATCAGTGAGGAGACCGGGGGTCTCCAAGGGGGTTCCACAAGAGAGAGGGCGGCGGGAGCGCCTGGGGTGGGTGGGAGGAGTTCCATGAGGGGCCCCAATCTGGGCTGCGCACCCGAAACCGCCGGGACGGTGGGGGCTGGGGGCGGAACTGAGCACGCGGAGCCGGGGGCCGGGAAGTGCCCCGCGCCCCGGATCCCCACGCCGCGCGGACGCCGAACTCGCCAGGTGTTCCCCCGCCCCCACCATTATATAACTGGCGGGTGGGCTCAGAGGCGCTCGGGAAGAGTCGGCGCCCCGGACGCCCCCCGCCCGGCCACCCCCTCCGCGCGAGGCGCTCGTGCCCCGCCGGGTGTTATGCAACCCAAGCCCGGAAGGGGGTAGGGGGCGGCGGGCCCCGCAGCTCACCCGGGCCGGCCAGTGTGGGTAGCCCTTCATCTTGGCGAACACCAGGTCCCCGCATTTGTACTCCTTCTGCCGGTTGGATCGCGACATGGCGGGACTCCGGGCGCCCCGGGCTCCGCGCCGGGCCGGGAAGCGCGAGCCCAAGTTTGCGCGTGCGGCGGTGGCGGCGCCGCTCCGCTCCGGCCCTCGCGCGGCCCCCGCCTCGATGGCGGCCCCCGGCCCGGGCTCCCGCGCGGCCACGGCGTCTCCGCCCGCGCGCCGCACGGACGGGGCGGGCGCGAGTCGGGGGCAAAGCTCCGGCGCGGTGGGTGCGCGCTCGTGCAGTTGTTTGTGTTTGAAATTCAATTGCTCCCTCCTCTGCGCGAGGCCTCTTCCTCCACCCCCCGCCCGGTCCCCACTCCTCCTCCCGACTCCCTCCTCCTTTCCCCACTCGTCCTCCTCCCCCTCCGCGCTCCCTCCCGCGGCGGTTTGATGCGCGCAGCTTCTGGACGCCCCGTGCCTGCCACTGCCCGACGCCCAACCTGGAGCCGCCTGGCGGCGAGCGGCGAGGCAGGCGTGAGGAGCCGATCGCCGAGCACGCCGAGCAGGCTTTGTGTGCCCGCTGTCGGTGGGTGCCCACCCGCCCGCCCGCCCGGGGGGAGCTGGCGCCCGGCTGGACGGAGCGGCCTGGCGCCCCTCCCCCGGCCCCGCGGGGCGCTCACCGCCGCGACCTCAGCGCGGCCCGGTGGCGCGTCCACGCGCCGTGTCCCCTGCCCTCTGCTCCATCCCAGTCTACCAGCGCGTGCTCGGCGCGTGAGCGCAGGTCGGCGTTCGGGGCACCCGGGTGAGAGGAGGGCACGGCGTCGGAGGGCCGCCCTGGGCCTCGACGGGCTGGCAGTCTGGGGTGGCCCCCGAAACGTCCGGGATCTGTGCCCTTACGACGGCCTTTGTCTAGGAGGAAAGGCTCGAGTTAGAGAGCCAGGAGGTGTCCGAGGGGCCGTGGCACACAGTGGCCACGTGCCAGGTGTGGTAGCTAGCTCTTGGTTCTCTGTGCTACTTCCTGGCCAAAGAAAGCTGGGCTCAGCTAGCCAAGCTCATCTGAGCCCACCGAGATGGCCTTCGTTCTACTTAGGAAAGACAGTAGAATGCCAATAAATCCAAAACCATCAGTGAGCAGCGGAGACTAGGAAACCAGGCGCCATTTCTCTTGGGAGGAAAGTTACAATCTGGGAAGGCTTCACAAAGGTGATGACTTTGAACTGAGTCTGAAAGATTGTGATTTTTTTTTATCTTCCGGATTCTGAGAGATTACATTTGAGCTTAGGTTATATCCTGAGAAGTGATAAAAACCAAAACTTGAACTCAGGTGTTTCCCGTTAAGCCAAGCAAGACTTTACTACAGTTGTATCTTTGATTTGCTTTGCATTTGTCCAAATTCCAGACACCAATGGTCGCTTAGAAATAAGATTTGGATCCAGGTCCTTCTATTTTTACATCAAAATAAGTAAAATATGCATGTTTTCTCCCTCCGTTTCTGATCTTACAGTAAAGCATATACTCGCAGGATCTAGCCAAAAGGCTTCAGGTCCACATCCTACCTTGCTGTTCACCAGTCATGAGAACTTGGGCAACCCCCTGAACTTCTCTGAGCCTCAGTTTCCTCAACAGTAAATGGGATAACATCACTGCCCTGCCAGCATTAGAGGCACAAGCATCTGCTTATCATTAGCCAAGGGCGTGTAGTTTCCCCATTGTGCTTCCTATCAGTTGCTGTCCTTATGTCTGTGGCAATGCATTTCACAAGTTTTGCCTTTATTACAGTGTGGCCTCTGGACATAATTCCCCCTTGTGATAGGAGTCCCTCTGGTCCAGTCCACAGGCACTCCAGGCCCCACGTTGCTGGCACAGTGGGGCACTCTGCAAGGTCCTGTTGTAATAAAAGAGCCATGCAAGCCCTCAGCCACAGACTTGTCGATTTGTTTCAATAGCAAATCCAAACTTGTTGCAACAGAGCAACTAGATTCCAGTTGGTGTTTACTCTAAGATGCATTCCAGTTTGAAATGCAATGTAATAGTCCAAATTCTGTCAGGCTCATGCTTTTCTTTGTCTTTGGGAGAGAATCTTGTCACTGATTTTTAAAGATGTTTTGGTAAATTCAGTATCAAACTAGGTTTCCTTTGAGTGTCCAGACTGGTGTTAGAAATAAGCACACTTGTAGTGCAACAATCATATTTTAAAACTATATTCCAGGCTTCCCTGGTGGTGCAGCGAGTTGAGCGCCTCAATGTGAAGCTGTCCGCAGCCTCTGCAGCACAGGTTTGATTCCTGGCCGGCCAGGGAGAAACCCACATGGCATGGCAGACCTCTCCTGCCTCGCCCGCTGCTCCCCTCAACAGTGTATTTCAGTCAGTCTGCCTGTTCTGTTCCCTGCTCTGTCTCTGGTGAATTCTCTCACCCATTGGCACCTCTGACCTGTACCCTAGTTCTTGTATAAATAAATAAATCTTTAAAAACAATTAAACTATTTTCCAATTTAACAAGCTCCAATTTAGTTAAAATCAAGAGTCTTAATCCATTACTCCACTTTGTTGCATTATAATAGCCTGTTTAGAGGTGGCAATAAAGCTTCTAAATTTTTTTTGCAACAAATCTCTTGGGCCTGTCATTTGGTCCACCATGCAGATGCTGATGGCAATAAAACAACCTCAGTTCCCTTTGTTGCAATGCTCTCCCAGGCCTTGGTTGCAATTTAATATCCAAGTTCTCCTTTCAATAACATCATCAACTAACTCACAGCTGCCCCTAACAACCAAGCCAAGAACCACAGAGGGTCAGTTACATGGTCTGCATGAGCCTGCTTCCCCTGGGATTCAGATCTAGCTTAGGGCTTTGCAGACTTTGATGTGCAAGCAAATCACCTGGGAATCCTCTTAAAAAGCAGATTCTAATTCAGGGGGTTTAGGGAGTCTGCATTGCTAACAGGCTCTAAGGTGCTGCTGTTGCTGCTTTGAACTACCATTTGAATAGTTAGGTGCTGAAACAAACTGGTCAGTCTGCCAGTCAGCTTGAAATCAATTCACAGATTCTCTGTGAAATTGTTCTGTTGATGCTGGCTGGTGTGGAATTCCACAGGTGTGTGAAAATTATTGGACAAGACAGAGGTCAAGGGATCTGGGATCTCAAAGCAGAGAGGACTCGTGGGTGCAGGTATTAACCCTGGCTCTAGGATTCTGAAACCAGTCTCTGAAGGAGTAAGGTCAGGGGAGAGGGTGGTGGACTTATTTCCAGTCCTATCAGGAAGGAGGGGTTGATACAGCCTTGGAAGGGAGGAGTGACAAGGTGTAGTGGGAACAGCCTGGGTTTCCATGTCAAGAGATGTGGGCTTGAATCTCGCTGGCCTCTTACTGGCTTTCAGCAAATGACTTAACCAGAATTTATGAGCATAAAAGTTTCTTTCACTGTAAAATGGGAATGAAATAGCTACCTTATGGGATGATCATGAAGTGTAAAGGAGATAATTTGTATGAAAGCACCAGTGCCTCAACGGCTCATTGGGTTCCAAGGACATGTCAACTCCCTTCCCTTTAACTTTTTTTTTTTTTAATAGAGGCATGTTTATTTATTTATTTATTTTATTTGTTTATACATGCACTGGGTACAGTCAGAAGCGCGGGAGGGTGAGAGAATTCACCAGAGCCAGAGCGGGGAGCAGAGCAGGCAGAAGGACCGAAGTACACTGCTGAGGGGAGCAGCGGGCGGCAGGAGAGGTCTGCGCACCATGTGGGACCCTCCTCCGGTGGCCGGGGAGCAGCCGGGGATCGAACCAGCGCCGCAAAGGGTGCGGGCAGCTTCGCAACCCAGCGCTCAACCGCTGCGCCACCGGGGAGGTCCTTCCCTTTAACTTCTGAGAGTCTTAACTTTAACTGAGAGTCCAGGGGGTTGGCTCTGACTCCAGCGAATATCCAGCACTGTGTGACCTACTCCTGGTGCCACCTCGCCACCCTGCTTCCCTCTCTGGAAAACGTAGTGGACAATGGTTCGATTAGGCTAGGAGTTCTCAAAACAACCTCCCCATTGCCCCCTCCCATGAGTGCTACCCGAAATTAAAAAGCAGCCGTGGATAAGAGCTAAGGGAATCTAAGTACCTGCTTCACCACTGACTTGCTGGGTCACTGCAGGAGAACTGCCCTGAGTCTCGGTTTCATATTTTGTTGTTGTTTTGAAGTCTAAGGACATTTATTATTCACCTATGTAGATGGGAGCTAAGAAGTTCCAGAATCAACTCATCAACTCAACTGTCATAGTGTTGGGGGTTTAGTATATCTGTGATTCTGAGTCTCAGTTTCCATGTCAGATCAATGGATGATGATGAGGATTGAATAAATTAATGTATTTAATACATTAGGACTTGGAACATAGTAAGTGCTTGATAAAAGTGGTTATCACTGTATTTATTGTTAGATTCTGAGTAATATTTAGTTTGAGAAAATGGGCTTTTTTTTTGGCGTGCTTCTAAGGTGTGCGCATTCGGCCCTGATAAAGCTGGCACACTGCAGTGGTAAGGGTGGTTGGCATGGGCTTGGGAGCCACTTTACTTGGGTTTGAGTCCTAAGTCCAACACTTACTGCCTGTGTGACCTGCCGCAAGTTGTTCAGCTTTTCTGTGCCTTAGTTTTCTCATCTGTAAGACTGATTTACCTGCTATATCAGTTAATAGCTATGACATAGGGAGAAGCTTACAACAGTACCTGCACATATAGGTCCTATAGACTATTATGTTAGCTGTTAGTATAATATAATTCTATTAGCTATTTTTCTGAAAAATACTTAGTTTCGTAATATCTCTATGCATAACCTTCATAATAAAATATTTTTCGAAAGGAGGGTATTGTGGGCCTCCCTGGTGATGCAAAGGGTTAAGTACAGCACTGTGAAGCCATCCTCAGCCTCTGCAGCACAAGTTCGATCCCTGGCCAGCCAGGGAGCTACCCACATGGTGCAGCAGACCTCTCCTGTCTCACCCGCTGCTCCCCTCAGCAGTGTATTTCAGTCAGTCTGCCTATTCTGTTTCCTACTCTGTCTCTGGTCTCCTCTCACCCTTCCCGCCCCCCCACTCTGTACCTCCAGCCTGTACCCTGGTTCTTGTATGCATAAATAAATCTTTTTAAAAAAATAGGGTTCTGCATTTTAAAAACAAATGAAATCATTGGATTCATTCTCTAAAGCCATACTGTCCAACATATGTGACTTTTAAATGTTAATGAAATTTTGACTGACAATTTAAAAGAAAATTAAATATTCAATTCCTTGGTCGGACTAGCCACATTTTCAGCTGGGTAGCCTGTGTTGACTAATGGGTACTGCCTCAGAAATGCAGATGCAGAACATTTCCGTGAGTGCAAGGTAGGTTCAGCCGGTGCT